ATTTTTATGCTACGCCCTTGTTTGGAGCTCATTCTTTATCATTTCTAGAATTTTTTTGTCTGTTGCAACAGACCATGGCACAATCCATAAGGGCCCACCATTCAGCCTTCACTGAGTACAAGTACAATCTTTTCCAGCCATTTTCCAATTCTAACCCCACTTTTTAATTAAAGCATTGATTGGGTGGTTCGTCACTTGAGGGTTAAAAAGGGAAAAATAAAATAATCTTTTTTATGCATCATGTCGTCATTTTGTGTCCGAATGAAAGCTAAGGGACTATGCCATGACTGTGCAGTGGTCTAAAAAATTCGAGAAATGAGAAATAAATGAGCCCCAAACAGGGTCTACATTTGATGCATAAAAATTAATTGTTAATACATATATTTAAACACCCATTAAAATTCGTAAATACATGAATAGAAATAAATTTATCTATTTAACAAGTTTAGATTCATGTAAATAGAAATTCATTTTATCAATATTCATTGAGTCCAGATTAATGTGAATGTTAATTAATTGAAAATTAATAATATGAAGTCCATACATGACAATATTTTTTAGTATTTATTACATTGTAAAGTTAAAATTGTCCAAAAAAATGATTCATATTTAATATATTATAGATCATGCTTTACTCATGCCCAAAATTTCTTGGGCCCAAAAAACCATTCAAAATGTAGGACAAAAATTTGTTACCAATAGTCATTACATGAACACAAACCATTGGAAAATCTGTGGAAACGATTGATGTCTCTCACAATGATCTCTCTCCTGAAAATCTCTGATGCAAACTTCATAACTGTATGACAATCCCCACAAGTCCGAAGATTCTTCTTTATCCTAATGGGAGCTCCCTCAGGAAGGACGAGTAGCCCATATGCAAGGGCAAGTTTCTCACTGTGATACCATAAGCTCCTCTCCTTGTATTCATCCACATTGTTTATTGCATATTGGGTTTCAGCTATGTAACCTTTCTGCTTCACCATCTCCTCCAATTTGCCTAACATCTTGTATATCTCATTGGTCCTGGAATGGGATTTATCATGAGCTGTGAAAACATAAGTTGTATTCTTGACATCAAGCCAGCTACATCCAGGCTCTTTTCTAACCTTGTTAACCCCCATCAACCTCCTGACCTCGTCAGCTTCGTCTAACATACCTGCTCGAGCGTACATATTTCCGAGCAGTACATAGTTTCCGGGGTTAGTAGGCTCGATTTGGAAAAGCCTTTTAGCAACTTCTCCACCAAGTTCAAGATCCCCATATTTTCGGCAAGCTCCGAGCAATGCTCCCCAGACAGATATATCAGGTTCAATTGGCATCGTTTCAATGAATTTCTTAGCTTCAAGTAACTTACCTGCACGGCCAAGCAAGTCAACCATGCAAGCATAGTGTTCGGACCCTGGGGTTATATTGTGCGTCTGAATCATCGAATTGAAGTAAGAAAAGCCTTCATCAACCCGCCCTGTATGGCCACAAGCTGATAAAACAGAAACGAAAGTTATATAATCAGGCCTAATACCCTCTCGCAGCATATCCTCGAATAATTCTATAACTTGATCTGCACAGCCATGTTGTTGACAGGCAGATATCGTAGCCGTCCACAGTACCACATTACGATCCTCACTCTCAGTAAAAACCCTTCTACCATCGATCAAGCTTCCACATTTTGCGTACATTGTAACCAGTGAGCTTGAGACACAAGTGTTTGTTTCAAACCCTGTTTTTATAATCTGATCATGGATCAAACTGCCTTGATCCAGTGCTGCAATACTCGCAGCAGCATGAAGCACAGTCGAAAATGAAGCCTCGTCAGGCGATATGCCTTCGCGCCTCATCATCCAAAAATAATTGCACGCTTCCTCAAAGCTGTTATTTTGAACACATCCCATCATCATAACATTCCAAGTGACGACATCTCTATCTTCTATGGTCCTGAACAAGTTTTCAGCATCATCAAAGACACCACATTTACTATACATGTCCATCAAAGAATTCTTCACATAGGGTAAATATTCCAACCCACTCTTAATAACAACTCCATGAACTTGTCTTCCCATATCCACTCCTCGCACATTAGCACAAGCACTCAAAACACTTGAGAAGCTCACTTGATCAGGATTTATTAAATCGTCCCTAACAACATGCACGAAAAACTCAACTGTCTCGTCATAAAGCTTGTTTTGCAAGAACCCGACAATCATAGAATTCCAGGAAACAAGATTTCTTTCGGGCATTTCATCAAACAATATTTTCGCAAAGATCATTTCCCCACACTTCGCATACATATCAACCAATGCGCTACCCACAAACACATCAGAATCAAACCCATGTTTACGTATCAAAGAATGCATCTGTTTCCCATGAAAAATCACCATTGTATCAGCGCAGGCAGGCAAAACAGCAGAAAACGTAAAATGGTTGGGAAAAATATGATTTCTCCTCATCTCATTGAAAAAGCTGAGAGCCTTGATGGAAAATTTGCTATGCGACAGATGAGTGATGAGGGTGGTGTAAGTTATGATGCTCTCGTACACATGAAAATGGGTTCTTGAATTTATAGAAAAGAGTGTGAGGGCTAGAGAAATGCGGCCACATTTACAATACAGGTTAAGGAGATTGTTGTAGAGGAAAGGGATAGGCAAGTAACTTTGGGTGACGAGTTGGGAGTGGATTTGGGTGGCATGCTTGAGGTTCTTGGATTTGGCGGCATTGTTAATGAGATTGTTGAGGTGGGTTGGAGAGATGCATGATTTTGATGGTGCTCTGTTGGCAATTTTTATGGGCAATGGAGCTATCATAGCAAGTTGGACACTCAGAATTTAGGCAAAGATTTACTCGGTAAAAATTCGAAGGAAGATGAATGATGCAAATGAGTTTGGCAGAAGGAAATGCCAATGCTATGCAAATTGTGCAGCATATTTTGAATATGCAAAATCAACAAGGGGTGTGCTATGGGTATTCAGGTGGGCCCGTCACATCTGAAGGAGAGGGGGTGGGCGAGGGCAAGGGCGAGGGCGAGGGGGACACCATTATGTACCCCTTTATGTACCACAAGGGTTTTCCAATCAACAACGTTGGGCAAGGGGCACTAATTTTTGTTTATCACCATTCCCGTTTGGGAGAGATTATGCCCTTGTTTGAGCTCCATTTTTGTGAAGAAAATGAATTTTTTAATAGTATGTTGATGAGAAATGTGTGGTTAAAAAATAAAGAAAAGTTTTTGATTTGCGTATAATATTATTTTATTGAAAAATGTGTGGTTGAAATGATGTCAAATCACTGTTGAATAATGTATTTTTGTTGAAAAATGGAGCTCAAACAAGAGCTATAAGAATTGATTTTTTTTACAGTTAGGAGAAAAGTAAGAGTCACTTGTAAAAGAAGAAGTCAAACTTTACGGCTGAAATAATAAAATAACGATCAAAAAATTAATTTTTTAAGATAAAAAATCATTTTCAAACACCCTTGAATTTGTTTTGTAATTAAAGCTCTAATACGTAGACACATTTTATAAATAAGGTTGGCAAGACCATACTTCGGTAAAATGATAATTGTCTTGCTTAATAATATTATGTAGAATATGTTCGTATAAATCTTGCTCTCATTAGTTTACTACTAATTATACAAAATTTTATAATTATTTTACATATATATTTTAATGCCTTTTTCTTCTCTTTTTGATATTGTACGGATTGGAGAGACCTCGAAAGTCATTGTTGATTGTGTATCTCATGAAATTTTGTAAATGAGATTACGGGTACATTTGGCATGGTATTTTGGAAGTTCCAAGGAACTTTAGAAATTCAAAAGCTGTTTTTAATTCTTTTGGCTAATTTGATGAAAGCGTTTAATCTAGTTAAAATTTAGAAAAATTATTAGAGGAAAATGATCCAATATAGTTTCTTCTGAAAGCACTTTCGAATATAAAATTAAATAAAATTAAGGTAGCTTTCTCAATACACTTTTCAATAAGAAACAAAAGTAAAAGCAAAAACCGTATCAAATGGACCATACATCTTACTTTCAATAATAATAAAATAATAATAATAAAAATAAAAAAATTCAAGGTACATGAGGGAATAAATTGCATATTTTTGAAATTGTGAAGGACCAATGGAAGATTATTGAGGTTCAGGGACCAACTTGAAAGCGTTTGGAAGTTTAGGGATAATATTTGAAGATTGGGACAAAAAAATGACCAAAATAGAAGAAAATCATGAAAACAGTGACCAAATTGAAATAAGTTTGAAAGTTTAGAGTTAACCACGATTTGTAAACAGATTTTTTAGATGGAAAGTTCCACGAGAGTCTCGTCAGAGTCTTCCATGACTTTTCAACGTCTCCAGAATTAAGGAAGAATGGGATTATTTTTAGATTTTATACATCGAAAACACTTCAATTTTAAGTTATAAATTTAACCTTATTTTCAAAAATACAGTTTTAAAAATATTACACCAAACAAATTTTGAATATTTTATAAAATTAAAAATAAGTTGAAAACATCAAATAAAACTCTTGTAAAGCATTTTTAAGAGATTTTTTTATTTATTTATAAAGAGCATCTTATACATAATAAGAGCATCTTTAAATTTAGTAAGTAATTTTTTTTATGCATTCCAACAAATTCTCTATTTTCTTCATTTTGTTTTTTTCAATGTGCATTTAATAATAGGGAAAATTGCAGTCGAGGTACCAAACCTTTCGTTTATTAGCGAACTTTGCCCAAACCTTTCGTTTGTGCCACCGTGAGTACCAAACATTTAAAAAATGTGCAGCTCAAGTCGAAATTGACGGTTTCCGTCTGTTTGACCACAAAAATCGTTAGTTGACCCCAAAAATTAAAAATTTAATTATTTCCCCAAAATAAGGTAAGGGCATTCTGGACATAATACATTCTCCCTATTAAATTAACAATTAGAAAAATAATAAAACCATCTCCTTCTTTCTCAAATCAAAACCACTCCACCCAACCACCACATTCATCGCCAGCAGCCACCACTACTTACCGGCATCACCACCATTGCCCACCCAACAATACTCCAGAGGGCAGATGCTTTTGCTTGTCTGCAGACTTTTGTAAATACTGAAAGAAGATGCATATACTCAAGTGGAAGGGCCACTGTGATGAAAGAGCTAGAAGTTATTGATGCAAGTGTAAAAAAATTAGACCCCATTGTACAAAATGAGGTCAACCCAATTGAAGCTCAGATGTTGCAGAACCTGATATCAGATTTAGTAAAGACAGAAGGGAAACTTTCACAAGGACTAGATCTACTTTCAAATGTAGTTGATAATTTCTTCAAAATTGTTCTAACAGGACGGGATGCTTTGCTTGGTAACCTTAGAATTGGTGGTAATGTGTCTAACTCGGTAAAAACTTGCAAAGCAGAAGGCCAGGCTCTGAGGTGAACAGTAATTGGCTCTCTCTCTTGTATACTCAAGTGTGCAGCTATGGATGTATTGTTGGGTGGGCAGTGGTGGTGATGTCGGCGGGTAGTGGTGGCTGTCAGCGATGAATGAGGTTGTTGGGTAGACTGGTTTTGATTTGAGGAAGAAGGAGATGGTTTCATTATTTTTCTAATTTTTAATTTAATAGGGAAAATATATTATGTCCAAAATGCTCTTACCTTATTTTGGGGAAATAATTAAATTTTTAATTTTTGGGGTCAACTAACGATTTTTGTGGTCAAACAGACGGAAACCGTAAATTTCGACTTGAGCTGCACATTTTTTTAAAGGTTTGATACTCACGGTGGCACAAATGAAATGTTTGGGCAAAGTATGCTAATAAACGAAAGGTTTGGTACCTCGGTTGCAATTTTCCCTTAATAATATCTCCTTATATCTTATTTTACAAAAATTTTTTATATATTAATGGCCAATCAATTCAAATGTAATTTGAATAATTTAATTGTAGAATATTGAAATTTATAATGTATTATCTGCAATCATTGGACATTAAAGAATAGAGAGAGTTTGGCTATTTAAATCTGAAGAGCCTACTAACCCACTCTTTATTTTAAAAATTGAAATAAAGAGTATTTTGGAGCTCAATTTTAAACATTTACTCTCTAAAGTTTATTGTGATTAGAGAATATTTTGGAGCTACGCTAATATTTTTATATTTTTATCTTATTACCCTCAAGACAAATATATCCATAGGACCATGTTAGATGTACCTAATTTTTTTTTACCTAGTACTTTACATACACTCACAATAAAGGTGTGGAGACTACATGTTTGGATTATTTTATTCACGCGAGGTCCACGTGCTTGTGAGAGTGGGTAAACCATTTGGTAAACTAAATTATGTACACTTAGAATTATCCATATACATAATCCATACACTTGGCTTCTCGCAATGGATCGCCACGGACGATGGAATCCAAATTTTACATACCAAATTATAAATTTCACGCAGATACGTGGGCCCCACTTATATTTTGCAAGCAAATCTAGTTTTGTTTAATGGCCTATTTGATTCCCATTATTTGTCAAAAATACATTTTGTAATAGTGATTTGATGGAGAATGTATGGTTAAAAAATAAGAAAATTTTTTAATTTATGTATAATATTATTTTATTGAAAAACGTGATTGAAAATAAGAGAGAAAAATACATTTTGAAAATAATAGGAACCAAACGTGGGCTCAACAATCATGCAATGAGCAATTCCCCGTCCAAGGCACTGAAATGACGCCGCCGCCCCCCATTGGAGGGGGCGTCAATTAAGCCCCCTGTTTGGATATTTAATTTATGCGTTGTACACACACATATCATTCATACTCCTAGTATAATCTTATTTGTACAATCATGATGACAACCTTTATTAGCATTGTCACGTCCAATCATTTTTTAAGTTGTCAAAAACTTTTTTTGAATCGTTGATCCGAATTTCGTCACTTCCAACATTGTCAACAATATTTGTAACATTGTACAAATAGCTTAATTCTATATATATTTAGGGTTTAGGGGTTTTGGGTTTATCTTTTCTTTTTCATTTGATCGAGCTCATTTGCAGGTCATTATTGGATTATACCTCGAAAATTAGAAAAGGTCCTCTATATCATATCGAAGTAATCAATAAGATGTACTCAGCAATGGACATATCAATTCACTAAACTGTTGAGCGGCAAGTTTGAACTAACAAGCCAAAGTCGTGTTTGCCCCATTATTTTCGAACGTTGGGAGGAGTTTCTGTCATTGCTTCAAATTACTTCGATGTAATCCGAAATGCATTTTTTTAAACTGAAGAATCGGTAAATAACTTACTCAAACGATCGAGTTAAAATGGGTGCACGAAATTGAATGTACAATCGGATTATCCGTATTGCTGTTGTTGAAGGATTGCTATCTTTGAATTCCTTTATTTTAT